AATGGTCTTGTTTAAGTGAAGTTATTGGACAATCTTTGGGATTGTTCTCATGTCTTTATATGTGAATAAGAAACTGCTGGGTCATTTCAAAAACCATGTCTGAATAAGAAGCAGTCATGAAAATACAGTATTAGTTCCTGGGATTACATAGAAATGTAGCTCTATGGAACACCTGAATAAGCAAGTCTTGCTCATGAAATATCTAAGATCCCTGAATGAAAGCCGAGTGGCAATAGTTCCCAATTCTACTATGATCCTCTTCCAATTCTTGTCGCTGTGCAGTTAAGGAAGCAGACAAACAAGAGTTGGAAGATCTGAGAAATCTTCCCACTTTTAGTCTCCCGACATCTACTTAACAAATGTGCCAGGGAAATGTATCTTATACATGAGGTAAAGGGGAAAACTCTATACACACTTAGCACCAGAAAGCAAACAGCTGAAAAGAGGAAATCAAAAATAATTTACCAGGGCTGGGAAGGTGGCTCAGTGGTAGAGCACTTGCCTTGCATGCCTGAGGCCCTGGGTTCGATTCCCCAGCACCACATAAGCAAAAAGAAAAAAGCCAGAAGTGGCCCTGTGGCTCAAGTGGTAGAGCTCTAGCCTTGAGCTGAAGAGCTGAGGGACAGTGCCCAGGCCCAGAGTTCAGGCCCCACAACCGGACCCAAAAAAAAAAAAAAAAATTACCAGTAAGTCAAATTGGGTAGCTCCTGAAATTAAGTAAAAAAGAGCTTCTACTTTTATTTAACATTTTGCTTGAAATTGGACACTGGTGGCTTATGCCTGAAATCCTAGCTGCTTAGGAGGCTGAGATCTGAAGACCCTGGTTTAAAGCCAGCTGGCACAGGAAAATTCCATGAGACTTAGCTCCAACTAACTTCCAAAAAGCCAGAGTGGAGCTGTGGAGCACTAACCTGAATAAGCATGCTAAGAAAGAGCACCAAGGCCCCGAGTCCTAGTCCAAGCCCAAGTACCAACACCAAGGAGAAAAAAAAAATCCTACTTGAAATATAAGACACAGGGTTGAAAGCGTAGATCAGTGGTAGAACGCGTGAAAAACTACCAAGTACCAAGTTTAGGTACCTAAACAAATTTTTAAAAAGAAGATACAAGACACAGTCTATCCCTGGTATATTATTTGTGATTAGTTCCATAGAAATACTGATTCAGTACTGTAAGCCAAGTTCTTTAATTCCCAATGTCAATAATGACACAATTGAATTTTAGCTGCTTATGAGCAAATCTACATCGGGGGGTGGAGGTACAATGAAGTTAGACTACGCATACTCAGTTAATCTCAACAAAAGGTTGGTTCCCTTAAGATAAGAATCAAACAACAGAACTGAGTTCTTCTAATTAAACAATTAAACATGAATGCCTGCAGCATTATCATAGCAATGCCTACTTTAAAAATAAAAACATTAAGGACAGCTGGAGAACAGAAACATCTTCCTTCCTCACCTCAAAATCTTACTCTGTAAAGATCACAGAGCAGCAGAAACAAGGGAAGTTCACAGTACTGTACCAACTGGCTAGGTGCTGCTCTAAGCAGCTTCCTGCGTTGTCATCTGCTGCTTCTCTGCCCCCAGGCATGTGAGGAGAAACCTAAGGTGTTAAATATCTGGGACAAATGGGAGTTTGACAGGGAAGATAAATAGCCACAGGGCAATCAACCATGGGAACTTTCACTGTTAAAGCCAGTCAAGCTCAGCATTCACCTAGGAAGTCAGGACCTAGGACCCAGCTTGGGATGGAAAGAACTTTTTTTTTTTTCTTTTAATATTCTGACTGGCCTTCAGGGATTTTCAAAAGTAAGATTTAGAGAAAAGGAAGGTTTGAAAGTATGCTATGAATAAATTCTCCAGGATCCTAACTCTGAAATACTTAACAGGCCTCTGAATCTTACTATCTGCGGGGAAGACCACCTCAAGCCTCAAGGTTTAACTATGCTTAAGAACTCACACTGGGAAGTGGTGCTGTGGCTCAAGCGGTAGAACGCTAGCCTTGAGCTGAAGAGCTCAGGGACAGCGCCTAGGCCCAGAGTTCAGGCCCCACTACGGGGGGGGGGGGGGGGGAGGGAAAACAACTCACACTGACATTCAGTGTGCTGTCAGAGGCTTCTGAGCCTCAGTTTATTTTTATTTAAATCAATTAACGTTCTGCTTATTTCAAGGGCTGGGAGAGATCCATTCCTAAGATTTTTCTCGCTTAGAAGAACATCACAAGGCTAATGTTTCTAGTTCTAGAAGGAGGGAATTTGTCCATTAACATTTTCCCGCAGAAGGAAAGAAGCTAGAGGTGGTTCTCCTGTGCAAGAATATGTGTGCATATAAAAAAGCGTGGAGAACTGCTAGACTAAGATTGTGCAAGTGGGGGGGGGGGTAGTTCTCAAAAGTGTGTGTGTCAACAAAAGACTTTGCAGAGAAGGTCCCTGCCCCTCCCCCAGATGTTTCTCTCTACAACCCTTTTGGGCAGCAGATGCAGTAAACAAGCAATTGTTTCTAATGCAAATTCAAGTCACCAGGATACTCTCACCCTACACCCAAACACAAATGGTCAATGGGCTCCAAACACCCTCAGCAAAGTCCATCAACACACACACTGGGTTAGGCTAAGAACAGAATTAGAGAGCCAGGAGGCAGAAGTGTGGTTAGGCGTGAAGAAGGCAGGCTGTCTTCCGGTTAAAGTGTTTTTGATCTCAGACACATTAAAAACAGCTGTGAGGAATTAAAAAGTAAAGATTGTAACTCACTTCGGCTGGACCTTTAAAAAAAAATGACATAGCCTTGTGGTTAGAGCTGAAAAGCTTCTGGAATTGTGCAAACTGCAGGAGATCTCAAAGAAAACCGTGCATAGGATAAATAAACACATTCTAAATGTAACAGAGTAAATAAAGCAAAGCATCAGATAACAAGGCCAGGTAACCATTTCCTGATCATGCCTTTCCTCCAAGCTGCAACTACTGACATTTATCCTGCCCACAAATCTTTCCTAAGCCATGAATGACTGCTTCACTGACCTCAAAATTTTAATATAGACACTAACAAATACCTCCACTGTAGCAGAATTTCAAAATGATGAGCTTTGGGGACATGAAACAGGCTAGCTTGAAGAAGGGAACTTACTGATTAATGTTAATAGGGGTTATTGATAAATGACAAAACTTTGTATTACACTTTTTAAAAAATTGAAAGTAGCTCATCTAAGGAATGAATAATCCTCAACTAAACATGAGCTGTGTACACAAGCTTAAATGTATTACACTGTTTTCTATTATTAACCAAGGCTATAATTTCATTTGGAAAGTACTTGTCCTAAAAGTCTTTTCAACAGATATCTTCTACTATTTCTTATGAGAAAAACATTCTCTCTCCCTCATAAACAATGACAAAACAAGCTGCCCACTTCTATAAAATAGCTGACATATTTGCATATAATTCAGCAAAGTCTTCTACAAGTGTTGAAATTCATATACCTTAATTTGAAGCAGTTGCTAAATAAACTGTATTTGTGTTTATTAATTCATTGCTTTTAGGCAGACGATTCATATGTACCACAAAACCATCAACCATCATTAAGTATTTGAGAAAAATATTTTCAAAATCTGAGATAATTTTTCCCTATGACAACTATACAAATATCCAAGATTCAACCCCAATACCTCCATTTTAACTGCTACATGGAAATTTTAAAAACCATATTCCCTACTAGTGAGGTCAAATATCCTTCTGAATTTTGTGGGAAAGTAATTACCATGTTTTCTGAATCGGTGCCCACACAAAGTAGTATTTCACATAGCCCTCATTTCAACAAGGGCAACAATCAAGAAAACAAAAACATTTCTGTTGATAAACTAATGACTTTGGTTAAGAACCCTCTTGCTTCTAGATTCTGTTCAATGAGGCATAACTGACCCTACCTCTCCAGCTGTTTGTGACTGATTCTTTTTTCCCCCACGTGTAAGGATCACAGGTCCCATTTCAACAACAGATTCAGTACCCAGGAGTCAGTGTAACTGAAACCTTAAGATTCAGGCAGGCAGGCAAGCAGACACAGACAGACAGACAGACACACACACACACAGACACACACTCTTATGTATATGTTCTTCATTGGAACATTGGAGGTTGGGTGGACTGGAGAAAAATGTAAAACCATCCATGGGTCAGTGACAATCCATCACTACTGCTTGTGGGAGATGCTGTTCTGGGAGCATTCCACTAACACATGCATGTTCACATACTGCACAAGTTACCATACAAATGTTTTCTCACTACATAAATGGTGTTGCTATTTCCCAAGAGAAACAACATCCAATAACAAATGTGAAATTCTTCACAATAGCATTCATCTGCAGAATGCCGTTTTCATGCCACTGCGTTTTTAGAACTTTAGAACTTAACTGAGCCACAAAATTTTAAATATATACAGAGCTTCAAGTGAGACTTTCTCACAGCAACTGACAGTGAAGTAAAAGTAGCTCATTTACCCCCCCATAAAAGATCTTAATTGAAAGTAAGAGCTAATACAAGAAGATACTTCTAAAAACCGAAGCAACCATGTAAATATTTAGCAGTTCTGACTCCAGACAGTTATTGGGGAGATGAAAGCTTTATATGGTCCTTAGTTCACTGAAAGAAAAAAAACCATTTTTCCCGTCGTACTTATACAAAGCACAGTACATACACATATACACATATACATACATACACACACTCATGGATTTGTTGGTTTAGCATCATTTGATTTCATAACTTTTGATCCATTATTTAGTAATCTTAGCCAATAAGCCAAAAGCTAAAATCCCAAAAGCCAGACATCAAAGTCAGCACTATGTTAAGATGGGCATTCCTTGTAACAACTCTTAGTGATGACTACTCATAGTCATGTATAATGAAAGCACTTACAATGTGTTTGGGGAGAAGAGAAAAAAAAGCATTCTGCTGAAACACAAATTAATTTGCACTTGAGAAGCTCATTTGCAACATCAGCATGTTACTCACTGTCCTGGGGATGGGGGGAGAGAGGGATCCGTTTGACATGTACGGGTCGTTATTCATGTTCGGCATCATTATGTAGCCAGAATAGCTGGAGTAGGAGGGTCCCTTGTTGTAGAGACCTCCATCTGGATGTTTTCCTGAGAAAAATCCAAAGAACAATCAAGAATGCAAACTGACTCCCTTTGATATCACTGCATTTTCCCTCCGAAAACTTACTGTTTTAGGATAAGTCAGATTTTTACATGAAAGATTTGTTTATAAAATACTTGTGACTGGACTCTTATCCTCTAACTTCAGATTGGCTGTATTTATTCTCTTAAATGGCTCAGAAAACTCCAGATGTTAAAACACACGCGCACACACACACACACACACACACACCATGTGGTTCAATTTTCTCCAGCTACTGACTGATGTTTTTACAAAAAAAAAAAAGTGTTATCCACCTAACTTAATTTGCTCTATTACTAACAAACTGGACTAAGAAATACAGGAACATAAGAAAACACACACAAACCTGAACTGTAACACAAATATATCAGGTCATCTATCCATACACACGCATGTATTTATTTATACACTGGAAGTTATGTTTTCCATTTTAGGCAAACTCAAAAATTCTATCTTTGGTTTTAGAGGTCTAGAAATGTTCTAGATTTTACTGAGTTATATCCATTATACCCGAAGTTGTAAAGGAATAATAGTAGAAGACTGAATTTTATGTGCTACAGTTACATCATTCTACCAAAGAAATTTGTGTTTGAATTATATCAGTAATTTGTATAAATACTTTATTACTGGGAAGAAAGCCTAATGGTTAGCATACATGTATGTATAAACACTCCATTCAGGCTAATTGTTAAATCATTAAAAGAGAACAGAAATGCAAACTGGTGAGCCCTACTGATTCTTTTCAAATCACAAGTTCTTTAAGAAAAAAATAAATGTATATATAAAATTTCAAGCTCTCAGTGCAACCTCTAATTCTCAGTTTTACAATTTTACAAGCTAAATTTTGTATCACTGGGCCTCATTCAGTCTGTTAAGCCTGCTTTCCCACTGGAATAAAAAAAAATAAAAACCTAGAAACAGCAATTTTGTGAAAGAAAATCCATTCAACACTATTCTTGTTGGAAAAAAATATTCATTATAAACACTCGTCAACTGAAATTCTAGGACTCCCCTCTCTCATTCAAAGACAGCTTTTAAATGATATAAGGCATACATTTAGAGGTGAGCAATATTTGCGGGGGGGGGGATTTTCTTTCCCATTTTGTTATCAAATCTGGTCCTGGTCTCTTGAATTCCAACGTACTCGAAACACACACGTCCAATGCTAAAGTTAGAGGAGAAATAAACTGTCACATCTTACCATCATCAGGGTGTTCTCTGGCCTTGTCATGGTAGGACTCCTGAGAGGTTTGTGCTTGTCTGGCCACCTAGCAACAGGAATCCCCACCCCCAAAAGAAAGAAAATCATCTTAGAATTTGTGACAATATCAGTCAGAGTATCCACAGCTAACTTAAAGAAAGAGGTTTGGGGTTTAATGCAGTGTATCCATTTCATTCACCCATGGACAGGCTACGTCTTTTTCTTCTCTACAGGTACTTCTGAGGGATTATTAGCTGCTCAGAACCACCGAGGAAAAATGCTGACAAAAATAACACACTTGTAGTCCATCTGGGAAGGTCTCATGTGTTGTCCTGACCACCCCTCAAAAGCTACCAGGGCTTGAGTGCCTCACAAGATGAGAATTGAAGTTAATGGGCTGGGTAAGTTTTGCTCCCAGTGTTCATTTAACTAAAGCTGATTTTAAAAAACCCAGTTGAAGCAAGGTGCCAGTAGCACATTATCTGTAATCCTGAGGAGGCTGAGATGTGCGGATCAAAGTCCAAAGCCAACGGGGACAGGAAAGTCCATGAGACTCCGATTTCCAATAAACTATGCCTCTCCCGCCCCCTCCCCAAATAAGTAGGAAGTGGAGTTGTGGCTCAAGAGGCTAGTCCTGAGCGAAGTCAGCTCAGGGCCAGTGCTCAGGCCGAGGGGAGGGGTGTGTGGAAACAGCCAGCTGAAATGTTTTGCAATTGAAAACAACAGTTTAAATAGAAACAAGTCAACCACTCAGATTGGGGGGGGGGGTAAAGGAAATTGCCCTTGGAGGACGCACTCCCCAGCTGGGGGCCCACTCTGGCGATTTACAACCTAGCTAGCTGGCGGGAAAGAGACGAGGTAGAGCTCTCTGGTGGTGAAAGGGAAAAGGGGGGGGGAGGGATGGAGACTCAGGTTATAGAGTAACACCTAAAAAGTAGCCCGGTTAACCTCGCAGTTGGTAACCACCACCCGCCCTGACTCAACCACGTGCAAATCAGCGGTATTACCGGGGTAAGTTGGGGGCGCATTGAATATGACAAGATTCCCAAGGTTTCACACCTGGGGCTACGGGTTGCTCACGCAGTGCCTCCTCCCCAGAACTGAAACGTGCAAGAAATAGGCAGTCGGTGGCAAATGTAATGATAAACTATAAAAGAATACGCTAAATAAGTAGAGTGAAAGACACTGCTCCGCGAACAGGGCAGTTTGGCACCAAGCCCTAGTGGGGAGTCTTTGGTTTGGGATCTTTTCTTTTTGGGGGGGCGGGGGGAGTCTGGTTCCGGCTGGGTTCACCCTAGGGCCTCCCTCCTCTCCCCCCTGAACTGAATCCCGCGGCTGATGAACATCCAAGGATTCACCTGGGTCCCCAGGCCCCTGGCCCTGTACAAGGCTCTACTCACCCCTGCCATCGGAACCCAGGAGGCAACTGAGGTGTTCTTCAACGTGTCGTTTAAAACGCCCCGTGTCCCCGCCCCCAAGCCCACGCGCTTTCTTTTTGAGGGCAGAGGATGCCATTTAAGGGGAAAAGGACAGACCCGAGTTCCTCTAGCGGGAAAAGTGCCGGGTGGAATCACTTGTCTAGCGGATTGCCTAGGAAGTGTTCTCCTCCCCCCCCCCACCTCCGTTTCTGAACTCAAGAAGCCTAGGGGTCATATCAGGGTCCCATCTCTTCCCCTACCCTCCTCCCCTCGGATGCTCCAGTGAAGACAAAACAGCCGCCGGCAGCCGTGCAGCCCCGGGCTCTCCCGCACCGGCACCCACGTGTCTCTATTTACTCTACTCGGGTTACCAGCGCCGCGGCCCGCAGCCGGCTCAGAGAACTCCCGGCGCCCAGCTTCCGCTGCTTCTGCATAGATCGTGGGCCTGATTAGGGCCAACAACCCCCTTCAACACCCCTCCCCCACTTCCATGCCCGCCTTCGGTCTTGAAGTGACCCGATTGCGGGCAGTAGAGGCGCGCACGGCACGGTGCGCGCACGGGCGGCTTCAGGTTCCGCGCCCACGGGCTCGCCCCGCCTAGGGCTGGGGCCGTGGGGTGCCCGCAGGGTTCGCCCCCACAGGCCAGGGTGCAGGCCTCGTTCTCGGGTGGTGGCGATCGCCCCGCCCGTCTCCCCCCACCCACCCCTCCAATCTCTACACCCGGCCCACGCCCGCCTCTCCCTTCCTCCAGCCTGGGGCTCATCGAAAGCGTGTCTGTGGTGGTTTTAACGCACTTGTGCAGAGACATCCACCGAGAGATAGCGGGTGCACTGTTTCCCGCGGGGCGGATCGAGTTCTCCGGGCAGGTTAGACATCCTCGCTTTTAAAGCATCGCACCCCACAAGCCTCACCAGAAAAGTTCCCAGGCGAAACGTTCTGGGTTAAAGGGGGAGGGGGGGCGTTTCCTGCCCTCAACCAGCCGTTTAGCCACCGAAGCCCCACGCTGATCACTTGGAAGAAGTTTCTCCGCTCGCGGCACACAAGCTCACCCCACCCTCCGGAATGCTGGCCCTGGGCCCGAGGCCACCCAGCCCCCCCCCCGCAAACACACCCAAAGCAACCAGGGACCCGCTCTTGAGTGGTCCCCCGGCCGGTCCCCCGCCGCTCCGGGCCGCCTCTCCACCCTTGCCCCGGGCACCCGCCACGCCTCCGGGGCTCCGGGCCGCAGCGGGCTCACCTCGTGTCCGTTGCTGGCCGGGATGATTTCGGATTCATTCACCAAGGAAGACTTAATGTCGGCCAAGTCGCCTTCCTCTTCGGGGTGACTGATCTCGGCGAAGATCTTCTCTTTCTGGGGATCGCCTTCGTCCTTGAAGGGGATCATCTCGTCCGTCGCGCAGAGTTCCGGGTCCCCCCCGCCGCCGCCGCCGCCTCCCCCGGAGAGTTGGGGCATCCCGGCGGCTCTAGAATCTCCGCTCCTCGGTGGGAGCACCCAAGGCGGCCGCAGGAGAGACAGGGGGGTCAGCGCCAGAGGGGGAGGGCGGAGGAG